CCCTATGCTGCCAGACAACACCATGTCTCCCACAGGCTCCTCAGGAGGTGAACGAGCACTGAAGCAAGATCTCCTTTTAGGACATAGGGATGGCCAAAGGAGCAGCCTCCACACACCTGACAGATCTTCAGCTGCCATCCACCAGCAGCAAAATGTTCTACTGGGCTTGAAGCTGGTGGGGATCAGCATGCTCTTGACCACCAAGTCCTGGAAGCAATGTACTTCTCATCCCAAAGATGCCCCTATCTTTTGAGGCAGTGCTCATACAGGGATCCAGACCTTCTACTCTGCAGTCTGCCCAGAACTCTGGACACACAAGCACCCTGAGACATGGGGGGCCAACCTGTCCCATTCTCACTGCTCCATTCCCTTACACCATTTCTCTATAGAACAATCCAGCTTTCCTCCCACATGAAGAAATCAATCAGTGGGTGTCATGACAGCTAATAATTCCCAGTTACCTTCTTCCCTGCACATTGAATTCAGGCAGAAGCAGAAGTACATAAATACCATTTAGGTGACTATTATTAGTGCTTGAACCTACAGCCTAATGGTTGCTCCACGGTGGCAGGTTTTCTAACCCTTCACCTCAGCTCTCCATCATCCTGGATATCTAAAAATTTCATGTTCTGTGGTGCTGATTAAGATAACCCTCTTATTCTCGAGCCTTGACTGTTTACATAAATAGACACTTTAATGCATTTTGCCAGCAAGGCTTCTTTTGACTCCTTGGCACAGATGGTTAATATTTCCATGCTGCAGCAGCTATTAGATCATGATGTTACCAGTGACAGCTCTACATCCTCTGTACCCTGCTCTTTCTGCAGCAGGAATTCAGCTTGAGATCCTGCCATGGGCTTGGGTTGCTCCTGCCTCCTGCAGGAGTTTTCCCACCTTGGCTTGGGGCACTGTGGCTTTGTGGATCCCTACAACACTGCTGTAGCTGCGGGTCCTCCACTGGCTGCCCTCATGATGGGGACACGTCAGGCATCCCCTTATCCCACGTCCTTAAAGAACTGCCTCCCATAGATAATGAGCTTTTCTCCTTGGGTGCTGTCCCAGAGTCATTCACCCTTGTCAACTCTCCAATTTGCTCTTAAAAATTAACAAAAGGCTCCCCACATGTCTGAACCAATTCTTTTTTCCTTCCTTCAGAGACACCAGGGTTTTGGATCAATCTAGATCCAAGTCCACACAAGACCCAGGCAGGGATTTGAACCCACTGCAGCTTTGGGGAGGCCACTGAAGGACTCTCCAGTCTCTTTCTTGTTATGTTAACAATGGCAAAACACTGCAGAGACGGCGGCTAAAATTCAAGTGCTATTTAAACAAATGAGTATGTAGGGTATAGTTTGTACAATGCGAGCTCAGACAAGGAAACTCAGAACAGCCAAGAAGCTCAATATGAACCAGATTTTAAAAACAAAAACAAAACCCCAAACTTCCTCAAGGAAGCCCTTGTCAAATTCTTTCCCCTACTGAGGAGTCCAACATCACGCCTCATACTAAAGCCTTTGCTTTTCACTCCAAGAAAGGAATTGTAGGAAAAAAAGGAATATAAAAGTAGCACATTATGGATCAGAGCCTGGCTTGCAGCCAGGGCTGGGGGAAAAGCAGCACAGAAACCCTCTGGTTTAGCAGCACATTTTACTCCTGCTCTATGGCAGAACAATCTTTTGCAAAGCCCCAACTGTTTGAGCCCGCAGTGCTGCAGAGGCTCCGCTTCCCTAAGGCGAATCAGTCAATTGGTTCAACAGTGCATTTAAAATCCCCCTGAGCCTACCTTTAAATCACATTTATATTCCTCTACCCAAAGCTAATAGTTTCTACCTGCATTTTGCTTCATCTCTGTAGATGAACAAGCTATTTAGCAGCCACATTAATAATCCGTGTCAATCTGCTTGTCATTTCCCCGATGGAAAATTTCACACTGCTGCCCAGCAGCCACAACGTGGCGAGTGCTGCCAGCACCTCCCACTGCACTGCCTCCCTCCCACTGCACCTGGAGCCAGGAGAACAGCAGCACTTAGATCTGGATGGGTGGGGTGAGGAAGAAACACAGAATTACACCCAGCCAGGTGTGCCTACAGCTCAGGTATGTGCAGGGAGCACATGGAAACAACCTGGTGTGGAGTGAGAAAGTCAGCTCACCTCAGGAGGAGCTTAGAGGAGACCCAGCTCTTGAAGCCCCAGCCATGTGATGATAAAATGTGATCTATGGACAAGAGCTTTGGGTGGAAGAGGAGCTTCATCCAGCAGTCCTGGCCATGGGTGGTCAGTTGACTGATGGGTGAATGCAAATAAACAGCAGGAGGTGGGGGCCAGTGTTTCCAACACACTCCCAATGGCCACTCATTTGTTTGTGCCTTCAGAGAACCACTGTCACCTTAAATATCCCAACCTGGCCTACTCTGGTTTTCATATCTGTCAAACAAGGGACTGAAAGATTATTTCAGGTCCCTCCAGGCTGCCTGTCCCAAGGTGAGATGTCAAACCTCCAGAGGAGCAAACTTTTCTCCCTGACTGTTATGAGGGTCACCAGCTCCTGTCTTGAAGTCCAGGATGCTCTGGTGGTCCCAGAGCTGCTGAATCCCACCCAGCATGGCTGGGGGCAGATGGGTGGGCAGAAACCTCTCTCTTCTTGAGTAACCTCCAGCCTGTCCTTCCTCTCAGAGGAGCAGCCCCTCTGCCAAGGGGCCGCAAGACAATACAAGGTTTTGACATGACACCTTAAAACAGGCCCTTAAAATATTTACCCTGATATAGCCCACTGTGCCCAGGGCAGCTTGTGGAAAGCCCAAGAGGTAAATACTGTCTAAATAAGCAGAGAGCTTAATATAGAAAGTCATGGAGTCAAGTACTCTTCAAGCACCCTTACGTCTTTGCAAACATCAGTCAGTAAAGATAAATTTGACATGGTTGATCACTCACACGTTTAGGAAAAGCTCTTCTAAAAGAAAAAAATCACATTTCAGTGTTTATAATCTCTGCAGGAAGGCCTGGTCCAGCATTTTGCCCCTCTAATTCCTGCTCTCATAACTGTCAGATTATGAAATTGCCAACTCTAAACCTTCTGAGGTTACAAAGAAACACCTGTCTGCTCTCTGCTGCCACTTCCAGCGGATGAACTAATAAAAATAAGCTCTGCTATTCCCTCCAAATGCCTGAGAGAAAGGAATCTGGAACAGTAGTAGCTTCAAAATACCATTAAAGAAAGCAACCACCCACAGTGTCTGGAGTCCCCCACGCTTATCAGCTCCCTTCACCCTTGTTACCCGAAAACCACGCAAAAATCTGCCTCTTGTCATCCAGACATTTGCTAGGACTCACCACTGGCCAGGGCAAAAACCAGAAACCTCCTGCCCCCACTCTTCCCAAGGCAAAGAATGAAGGAGATGTGTTGTGCTTAGGGTGTTTGACCATGGGAGCTTGCTCAGCCACCCATCTCCAGTGGGGTGGGTGGTGCCCCCAGATGGGAGCCCTCACCAGCATCTCCCAAAGGTGCTCCTGGTAGAGGGGAACAGGCTTTGACAATCCACCCCTTGGACAGTCACAGCAAGGACACCGTGGATCTGCTTTCACACTTCAGCCAAGGGAGGAATAAAAGTGTTTATTGGTTTCTGTGAGCCACCTCCTCCCAGCTTCTTTGGAGATGATCTTCCTGAGATTATTAAATAAAGGTGGAATCATTCAAACTTCCCCGCAGAGCTCCCACCAAGGGCAGCAAATGAAGGTGAAACCAGCAGGACTTTGGAGTGCAGCACGGTTTCATGTGTACTGAAAACAACCCTTAGCCAGCCAGACTGCATCAGGGCATCAGGGGGAAGGTCCTGGCTGGGAGGGACACATTGAGCACAGCCATGTCTCCCTGGCACTCGGTCACTGAGGCATTAATGCCACAGGATGACAGGGGAACTGGGAGCTGATCCGCAGCCACCACCGCTTCCGCTGGGAGCTGGGGGAGAAACACCTCTGCGTGCAATCATCAGCAACTCAGCCAACATAAAACATGCCAGGAAGGGAGAAAAGTGGAGTCACAACTTGAGATGCAATGAACTCCCACCCAAGACTGATGCTGGCACAGGGGTGGCTGTGTCTTTCTGGGAGCACAGAGCTCTAACATCCTGGGGGAAACAACATGCTGGGAGCCCTCAAGAATGTGTCTGTAACAGAGTTTTGCAGCATCTCTGCATCCCCACTAATAAACCCTTCACCCCAAAGCACCTGCAGCCCCAAGGCACATGCATGAGGCAGGATCAAGGGCTCCACGCCAGGTGGGCCCCAGCAGCAGCCACAAAACCCATGTGAAGCCACAGCATGCAAAGCCTCTGAAAGCAGAGTTCTTGTCATCCTCATGGAAATGTTTCAAGAGGAACATGGCAACCCTTTTCTTAATGACTATATATAGGGAAAGCTCTGCTAGGTGACAAGCAGTGAGAGGCTGGAGCAGAGGCAGTCTCTTGCCTACAAGGATTCAGATAATTGAGCAAAGAATAGCCAGTGATGAGTCTATTTTGGACTCATCATGCTGCTGCTGGAGCATTCACCGAGGAGGCAAAGCCATTTGTTACCTCCTCTCCGAGAAGTGCAAATTCAATAGAGTTCCCTGCAGCTGCACTGACCCCAGAGCCCACAGAGCCCACAGCTGCCAGCAGCACCTCAAGCACTGCCAGGCTCACACTGACCTGGTGGCAAAGGGCTGCTTCCTCTCCTTGGTCCCCTCCCCACAGACCCCAGCACCACCTGGTGCTGCCCAGGGGACAGTGGTCTCAGCATGGTGCTGATCATCCCTGGCAGGGCTAGGATGCAGGAGCTCACATAGCCAGGTACCAGTCAAGGTGATTGCTGCGGCCTGCAAGCAGGCTCAGAGGAAAAAAACTGTCTTATTCCATTCTGGGACCCTTCCCAGAGCATTTCAATTCCTCTCACCCCAAACCATCCTGCCAGCAGCTGGATTTGGACTCATCACCCCACCCAGGAGCTGCCAGGACAGCACTCACCTGTTCGTGGTACTCGATCCCCATGCTGAGCGTGTTAATGAGAATGGCCACCATGATCCCACGGCCGAAATATTTGCTGTCCACGATCTTCTGGAAGGTCTCACACACCACACGCCAGAAGGCCAGCGCCAGGTGGGCTCTCCTGGCCCCGGTTCTGCCCCTTTGTGGGTCCCGCTGGTCCCTGTAGTGGGCATCCTGTGTGAACTCGTACACTCCCTCACTGTCTGAGTTGGCCGTCTCATTGTCCGACAGCTCGGCCTCGCCTGCCAGCACCGTGAGGCAGTAAGGACAGCTCTCAGGAGTGCAGGAGCCACCATCCAGCTTGGTGCAAGGGCTGGAGATCTTGCAAGAGCTTTGGCAGGGACCTGAAATGCCAGCAGAGCAGGGAAAGGGCAGCTCGTCAGCTGGGACAGGGGGCTGCAGAAAGCAACCCTCACTCCCTGTTAGCACCAAGCCCCTGACATGATGGGCATTTCCTAACGGGAAAGGGGCTTCTGCTGGGTTAAAACACTGGCTCCCCAAGTGTCTTCTCTCTGTTCATGAAGCTGTCTTTGCTGCCCCCAGACAGATGCCACCCCAGCCATGGACTCTGAGCACATCTCATGACATCTCCATCCATTACAGGAAAGAGGAAGCAATTGGTTCCCTCAGTCCTGGCGTGTTCCTGGCTGTAATTATCAGGAGGACTGTTAGTCTTCTTTCCTGTTCCCTCTGCCAATGCTCCAAAACCACTAGCTTCCCTCTCCACATGATGGCCTCAGTGGCAGCTGCCAGGTGTCTCCTGGGTAAAATACCAGCAGGATGTTCCCCAAAATTCCCACTACCTGGCTGAGAGGAGAGAAGCAACACGTGTGCCTGACTCCTGCATGGCAGCATCCAGGAGTGAGAATGCAAACCCTGTGCTAAACCAACTCAGAGCCCAGTTCTGTGTGTTTAGTGTCTGGGCAGTGCTGGGCTGGGGCAGGATTTGGTCTCTTCCCTGCACAGCTCCTGGCTGGAGAGGTCAATGACATTGCAGTGGAGTGGAAAAGGCACTGACTGCTTGGGAAAGCTTGGCAAGAAACACTTCTTGGAGGCTGAGAGTATTTGAACTAGAATGGCCTGAACTTCCAAATTTTAGGATGTAGAGGGGAAAAGAGCATCTTGCAGTGAAGATAGGAAACTCCTGATCCAAGAAAGATACATTCAGCATCTGACTCTTACAGGCTTCCTGGGCAAATCACAGATTTTTAATACTTGGCACCTGTGATTGCCCTTGAGCACTCACACAAAGCAGACACTCAATCTCCCTGAGCCTTGTGCCCCCAAGGATCAGAGCTTTGCAGTGCCCAGGGGTGTGATAGGACTCAGATCTGGAAGACACCCATCTGCAAGCTTTAGCTGGTTTTGGGAGTACAGGATTTGGTAAGCATTGCCTGTAAATGGTTTGGGAGTGGAGGGAAATAATGGAATTTTGTCCTCACCTTTAATTTAAACCCACCCTCTGCAAAGTTTCACGCCATTCCCTCTTTCCTGTCACTACACGATCTTGTCAAAGTCTCTCTGCAGCTCTCCTGTACTTGTCTAATCTACAAGATTGGAGTTGCAAAAGAAAATTGATTCACTGAAAACCCTCAAATCCCTTGGATTACTGCAGGTATGAAGTCTGGGAGGATGAAATCTCTCTCCTAAATTTTTTCTGTAAGAGGCATTAGGTAGGTCGGAAGATTCCTGTTCATCTCACCTGGAAACCCATCGCCTTTCTCTGTAACATGGACTGAAAAGAACCCTGCAAAAATTCAGAGAGAGAAAAAAATTAGGACAAAAAACTGTATTTCTGGAAAGCAGCCCCAGATGTAGATCCAGCCCCAGCTGACCTGCGCTCTGTGTCTCCAGCAGCTTGTGCATGGTGCTGTAGGGCCCGGGCGGGATGTTGAGGCTCGTCAAGGTGCTGCTCCCAGCACCCACTGCCGCCTCCCCCAGGTTCTTCTCTTTCAGCATCTCATGGGAGGTGCTGGAGTGCACTGTGGGGTACACCTTGCTGCCCACCACGTTTTTGGGGATCCCTTCTGGGCTCGGCAAGCCAAGGCTCGGCTGTGTCAGGGATGACCGGCAGCGCACCGGCTCAAAGTGACAGTCGGCGTGGTAGATGCTGTGCACGGACTCGGTGTTGCTGGGAGAGGCACTGGGGGCCCCCAGGGAGTTGGGTGCCGAGGGAGGGAGCATCAGCCGGTTGGTCCCGTTGTGGAGCGAGCTGGTCTCCACATCACTGATCTCCGGGCTGGCACGGGGCGCTCGCAGGTTCCCATTGCCCAGGTGGTAGTGGTGGTGGTGGTGGTGGTGGTGGTGGATGAGGTGGTGCACCGAGGATCTCTTCCTGCTCTGGCGCTTCCTGCCATGCTGCTCGGCACCCGCCTTGCTCGTGGGGCTGCTGAGGAAGCCCATCCTCACGCCTGCCGCCCTGTAGGCCTTCACCAGCTGCTTGCTGCCTTTCCGGGCAATGTAAACCAGGTACTTGAGGAGCTCGTCGTAGCAGCTGCCCGGCTCTGAGAAACTGGCCAGGGTACTGGCGTTGGACAGGTAGCGCACGCGCTGCTCCTTCATCAGCTGGCTCTCCCGCTGCTTTGTCTCGGAGAACTGCGTCGCTATCACCACCAGGCACAGGTTGATCATGAAGAAGGAGCCCACCTAAGGGGACAGGGGACATCAGCCACCTCAGCGTGGCCGTGCCACCCCACAGATGCGCAGGGCATAAAGAGTAGGGGGCAAACCCCAGCCAACCCCACCCCCTGTGTCAGCGGGGACCACTGGCCGGGCTGACTCACCCCCCAAGCTTCCGCCCCAGAGACTCCCACACCAGCCCTCTGTGGAGGACGTCAGAGATCAAAGACGAGAGAAGACTATTTTGACAAAAATCTCTTGCTCTTTTAAGATGGTGTTTTTCTCTCTCCACAGACAGGAGTTGTAATTATCACAATTAGTGGCATTATGATGAATGCACTGAGCCTTCCTGATAGGAGCGTTTTTTCTGCCAGTGTGTGGGCAGCTTGTGAGCAGATCCCTTTCCCCTGCTAATGGGATTTGCGGGTGACTGTTACGCAAGGGCATCAGCAGCCTGTACCCACAGCTTGGAGATTTTCTTTCCAACCAGGGTTTCATGAGGTTCTGTCTTCTGCAGAGCCCAGCCTGGATCGCAGGGAATTACTGACGTGCTAACACTGCTAACGTTACTCGCACGACATCTGGAAAAGTACTGCTTGCTCTTCCTCGTCGTCATCTTGGGGAGGCTGAGAGCAAGGGTTTGTTTCTCTCTTGGGGAAGGTAACAGGAGAAAACAGCATCATGGACTAAACAACCATCTACTTTCTCGTCAGGGTTTGAGTCCTGGTTTGATGAGGAGCAGAAATTCCCACAATGACCTAACTGACAATGTGCAGCTATTTTTCTGGACTTAGACCAATTGTGTTGCAAGACAAGGACTCATCTCACTTAGCTACATCTAAGTGAGGCACCTAATTATCCTTTAGAGTCAAGAGAGAAATAGGCACATCAAGTCTGCAATGCATCTAATTTATTTTGGATGTCTACCTTCAGATGAGATGAATCACCCCCTTAAAGCACCTATTTTTCTCCCTTGACGATAAAGGGAGTCTAGACAACGAGCTCAGCCAGTCACTGTAGACAATTCTGCTTGCATAGATGAAGCCCATCATGGAGCCCACCCCATAGAAACTCTTTGTTGCCTCCTTTGTGGGTGGTCTCAGATGATGCTGTGAAGTGTGGGTGGGTTGTGGGCAGTAATCTCTCCCATCCTTTCTTAACGTGCTCTCTGAAGTTTGGGACTGTTTTCCTGAAACATCCCCACTGCACCAAGGACCCAGCCAGATGGGTTCTTCAATGTGGAGGAATTCTCGAGCAGCCTCTTCCCTTTCTGGCACTCAAAAACTGATCAGGTGAAATTTGCCTACTTTAAAACTTAAATTCAAGGTGGAAAGCAAGAGAGAGAAGCTTGGAGCACAGGGAGAGAAGTAGTAGAAGAAGCAGCAAAAACAGAAGTGTATCTACCACTGCTTGACCACATCTTTCCTGCTTTCCTTCCTCATGTTTGCAGCAAAATGCAGCTGCAGCACAATTCCACAGGGAAGCTGTGCTCCTCCCAGCAGGCTGGTTGCTACTTCAGCTTTTATCTACACTGCATCCTCTGCCCTGTTCCTCTAGGTGATTCCACCCTGCTCTCTCCAGATTCCAGGAGGACCCACCCCGCTCCTCTAAGGCCACTCACAATGATCAGGAGGATGAAGTAGATGAAGTTGTAGAAGGAGTGTGCATCCATGACAAAGTACATGATGTCCACCCAGCCTTCCAGCGTGATGACCTGGTGGAGACAGGAAAGGAAAATAAACTCCTCAAGGCTCAGCTACAACAAAGTGCACAGGCAATGTTTCTTCTGGCTGGGTCATGTCTGACACCCCAAAGTAGGTCTTGGTGCAGTAAAAGATGCTGAGGAGCCAACTTCTGCTTCTCCCAATGCCAACAGCCACATTACTATCTGCCCAGGCTGAATCCAGTCCCTTCCCAGCTGGACTCAAGGGCCTCTAGAATATTTTACAGAGAGAAGAGCAGTCTCTAGGCTCTGCCTGACACCGACATCACCACACTGCACACCCACAGGGTTTTGTCCATACATGTGAGGTGGAGACATTCTCAAAACCGGCATCATATTGTATCCCTAACACTTTGAGCACCTGTGCACTACTATGTAAGTGCTCACTAGTGCAAAACAGCCCCCAGGAGTGCAATTACACAGCCCCTGGGAGCCAGGGGCAGGACCTGCTGTTTGCCCACCTTGTGACAGTCGGCAGACAGGGCTCACCTGAAATATCGCAATCCAGGCATAGCCAATGTTATCGAAGTTGATGGCTCCCTTGAAGGGGTTGTGCTCCCCAGCAGAGCAGTTGGTGTAGTACTGGTTCCAGTTCACACAAGACGTGTTGGTGGTGTCATTGTAGGAGTAATAATCCAGGGTGCACTCCAGACCCTCCTCCCTCCGCGTCGGGATGCTCCGACAGTAGCGCATCCCGTTCTCCCGGGGCTGCGAGCAGATGAAGGGATTTTCATCCTCATTCTCTGTCTGGTAGTACCTCTCCAAATCCACTGTGTAGGGGCTGAAAGAGTCCAGACAGGGCTGGGGTTTGCACACTGATTGCAGGCAATCTGGCAAGGAGACAGCTGTGAAAGCACAGTCTGGTATCTGCTTCTCTGGATCCTAAAGCTTTTTTTTTTAAAGTAGGAATCCCTTTGGACTTACTGCAGCCCCAGAGGGTGAGCTGATGTCCTTAACTGGGTTTTGAGAAACTCAGGCAGTGCACTTGGCCCCTTGGCAATCCATCTGATGGCATTATTAAAAGTTACTCCCTCTGGAAGCACTCTGGCTTTGACTTTAGGAGACTAGGAGAAGGAGTCAGTGTGACAGGGCTTCTTTGAAATGTCTTTGCTGAAGTCAGATGGAAACCAGCTTAAGCTCCTGTATGTCCTGTCCTTCTGGAGATGCTGAGAATTGTTTAGGGAGACTCTAAGTACAAGGACCTCCCAAGATTCCTAAAAATCAGAGACAGGGCCTTCATCTGCATTTCACTGTGTCAGTTCAGCCCACAGATAAGCTCTAAATTCCCTCTGAGGGTGGCCTTGCCACAGGAAACCAGGCAAAAATACTCTTCAAGGAGATGAAACATCCCATGGCCAGTCAGAAACTGTCTCCTTGCTCTGTACACACTATCTCCTTAATGCTGCCAGGACTCCCACTAAAGCTTGCAAAGATATTTTTAAGCCTAGTTCAGCCCGGTTAATTCCTGCAGAATTGCCTGTAATACCCTTCAAAGCCTATCTAAACCCCTGGAATTCTGGCTCAATTAAACAGCACCCAAACCTGTGGCTCTATTGGATTTACTTGGTAGTGAAGCTATCCCCCTGCTCTGCTGACATTTACTTAACAGGGACATGTCCTGGTAACAACACTTCCAGTCACCCTTTGAGGGCATGACCTGCAAGAGGGGTGGGAGTTGATCAGGAGGTGGGTGGGAGAGGTTGGAAGGTGCCTCCTGCCAGCCTGGCCACAGCAGCAGCAGCAACACGGCGCTGCTGTGTGCAGGAAAGAGGCTTTGGGCTTGTAGGATTCCTCCATCCAGGTGTGAATCCAGCCAGATCCACCCTGGGGAGTCAGCAATCCACTTAAAGGTGATGGGTGGGGCAGAAATTGGGAGAGCCATCAAGGATCTGCAGTCACCTACCTTTCTCCAGGCATTTGAAGGGATGGAGGTGGTGAAAAAAGCAGGTAGGCAGAACAGGCATGGAAACCCTGAAAGAGGATGTCAGCTACCAGCTATTTCAACCTCTGCCCAAACGGTGCTGCATCAGACCAGAAAACTGATCACAACAGGTGTTTTGGCCTTAAAACTCAGGGATCTGTGAAAATTAACACTTTGGGATAGGGACTACTTCTTGCTCTGAGGTTGAAAAGTATCTAGCATCAAAAATGCACAGTATTTCCATTACCATTCCTCAGGTTTAGGTGGGACTACAAAAGTTGTGGCAATAAACATGGCCAGCCTCTGGAGGGGATTCAAACCTGGGCACCTCCATGCAGAAAAGGTCACACATTAATGATATGCTGAATTTAGAAAGCCTGAACTCCCATTCTCAGAGGGTTTTTTTGGAGGCCTTTAGCAATCAGAGAGGTTCCCAAGAGCCAGCTGAGAGTTAAGGACAGCCTGCAAATGCAAATGGCAAATTGTCACAGATCACTCTGTTCCTGCTGTGTGTGCCCAAGCAGGAGTGATGGTGGCATTTAGGAGCAGGGAACATTTACAGAAGAGAAGGGCTTTATTAGAGAGGAGATCTTGGAGGGACAGCCTCCCTCAAGCTGGGGAGACACTGGTGCTGCCCACACAGACTCACATGCTGAAGTTCTCAGGGAGGAAGCAGCGGTTCCTGAGCAAACCTGCCCACAGCTGGACTCCCACAATGCCAAAGATGAAGAAGACAAAGAAGCAGAGGAGGAGGACATTCCCCAGCATGGGCAGTGTGTCCAAAAGCAGCGTCACCAGGATGCGCATACCTGAGGCAAAGGGGAAAAGGTCACGTTGAATTTTCTTGTTCCAGCTATGTCCTCCTGACCTTTGCCTTTCCACTGACAATTTTCCACCTGTATTTCCTTATATTCTTTTCCTTCTTTTGTCACCCACATGTGGCTTGTGAACAGTCACAGATTCCCATCCCCTTTGGCTTTCCCTCCCCAAGCCCCTGGAACACTCCCCTTCATTCGTGCTGCACTCCTGGACCTACCTTCCCTGCTCCTCAGGTCCTCTTCTCCAAAGACTTCTAGCAATTATGTTTCCTTTCTTTCCTCAGATTAAATCCTGATGTTCTCCTTTGCTCAATCATATTTCTTTATCCACTCAGTATATTTCAAAATTCCCTTCCCTCCCTATTTCTGCTCATCTACCCTAAATGCCCTCTCTTCCTTAAAATACAGGACTCTCTCTGGCAGTTAATTCTCACAAGTTCAGGAACAGCCAGTTCTGTAACAAAGACAAATTGATGGTGACTTCAACTTGACATTTACACACAAAAAAATTGATTTCATCTGACATCTGTGTAATATTCTGCTCATCTCTCACTCTCCTTCTTTCCCCATGTTCTGCATTCTCTCACTTGCTTGTATTGACTTTTATCTAAAGAAAGCTTTACTGTTGCACCCTTTACTTTGATACTTCAGGAAGAGTTTTTTCTCTTATTCTGATGCTGTCACCTCCTTTCTCAGGGTTTCTCTTTTACTCCTTTACTGGGGAACAACCACCTTGCATCAACTCCTAATTAACTAAAATTACTTTCTGTGATTATTGCATTGATCATCATACGAAGCTCATTTTTCATCTTTCCCACCTTGCATTTCTATCCCACTGTAACTACATTGCAGAGAAGACAAGATAAATTACCCAGGATTTCAAAACACATTAAGTAAATTACATCTCCAGTTGACAGTGGTGGATAAATTCAGCTGTCCACCAGTTCAGCAGTGGGGATAAAAAAAAAAAAACCACAAACATTGCAAACAGGATTCTGAAGCTTCTGTAATGATTGAAATATCAGCAGAAAAGCTAGATTAAGTTCAAGAGTCAGGAGCAGGAAAATAAATAGATCCCAGGCACTTCCAGCATCAGCAGAGAGAACTGAAGCTGATTAGTTCTCATCTAGGCATCGGGCCAGTTCAGAGAGGGGAGTGCAGACTTGGATTTAATTTGGCTGAAGCAGTACTGGATTTGATGACCAGGATTGTAAGACCAGGAAAAGGATGCTTCTGGTACACTTGTACTTAACATCCCTGATCCACAGTGCACCTGAGAGGGACAGTGCTCAATGTCTCTCTTGGAGCACTGGAATTTGCCCAGCATGGGGCAGTGGGAGGGTTTGTGATGGCCAGTGCCATGTGGGGCTGGGCTGCCATGCAGCAGCAGACAATGCCATCCTCTGCTGCTTAAAGCAGGGCTGAGACCCTCGCCCATGACCTGAAACACCAGGACTCAAGAGGCACTGCCCATCCCAGCCAGGTCTGCTCTGGAGATGCTGGGGTTTGGGCTGTATGGACCAGCTCTGGGGGCCTCAGCACCTCCCAGGGAGCTCTCTCCAGGCACAACGAGACTTCCTCACCCCAATTTCTCCAGGGAAGGATGGAGCATCGCAGGGAGGGTGGGAAGAGCATGGCTCAGACCCCTCTGCCTGTACTGCCTGGCAAAGGCTCAGTCAATTCCCTGTCACCTGCAGCCCTTTAGCATCTTCCTCACACCCTCTTCAGATGAGAAAGGAAGATGCCTGAAGACAGTCCTGGATAATTTACTGACTCATCTCTGATGCCACAGGTGTCATAAGGAACCCAGATAGCGGTGGTTGTCAGGCTTGGACAAATGTTTGAGCTGTGGTGTAAGATCAAAGCCTCTGGGTTTGCCTTTCCATCTTTGGGGCATGGATCCAGACACCTGGCCCCAGGAGGGAGGAATAAGGATCTGACTTACTGGGGACCCTGTTAATGGCCCTGAGTGGCCGCAGGACTCGGACGGTGCGGACGGCTGAGAAGCTGACATTCTGCAGGTCCAGGGAATACTCCAGCATCCTGAGAAAGACACAAAAACACGGAGGAGTGTAGGGATCCAGTGGAGAAATGTTAGATTATCAAACATCAAATGCCAACCACTCACAGAGGGACTTGTTACTGCATCTCTCCCATCAGGAAAGTTTGCCAGAAGAATTAATTAAGATTTGTTTGCATGTCAGGATAAAGTCAATGAGGGGGAATGTGATACACCAGCTCACACAGCCAAGATCTCTCTCTCTCTCTCTTCTGCTTTGGATACTGGTTTGCACAGGGCCAGGCAGAAGCTTCTGAAAGTCCCTGCACACTTTAGAGAGGAAATTCCCAGGCATAGCCCTGTTTTTATCAATTTTGCAGATACTGTAATGAATCTGAGTTTGTTGTACTGAGCACCACCACAGTCCTGAAAGGAAGAACTGGTGCAGACCCCTCTGTGGGCCATAGGAGATGAGCAGCACAGGCCTCTGAGCTCTGCTTCCTCTGTCCAGCAGAGACCCTTGGCAGGTGGGACCAAAACTGATGACACTTGCAGATAGAAAATGGGGCCAACATGGACCTAGAAACCCCCCAGTGCTCCCACTGTCTGACAGGGCTATTTCCCAGCTCAGGACACAGAGGAACAACATTCACAGGACTTAGGATGCACCTGGATGGCTGCAAGTCCCTGGGGTGCCCCAGCACCTCTCACTCTTCTCAAGCAACACAGAGTCATCAGTCACAACACCTCCAGGACTTTGCTCCCTGGCTGTGGGAAGGTCCAAGAGCTCTGCCCAGAATATTCTTGAAGAGGCAGACAGGCAAAGGTAAGGAAGACAACCCTGAGGCTCCCTGGACAGTCAGGCTCCCACTGCCACAGACAACCACCACATACTAATCTGTTCTGAAAAATTCCATCTCCAAACAAGCTGGGTGGTTCCCTCCCTCCAACTCTGATGGCTACAAGCCTAACTTCCAACCTGAATTTATTCAGGACAAGCTCATATCCGTCTGTTCTTACGGCAGCACTGTCTTGAAAGCAGCTTCTCTAGCTGTTATTTGTCCCTGATGTTTACCTACCCATGTGTTTACAGAGGACAAAGCACATCTCCTCTCAGCCTTGATTTTGCAAAGTCAAACAAATCAGGTTCTTCCAGCCCCATCTCACAGACAGGCTCCCTGCTTCTCAGTCACAACTTCCTCCATGCTTGCCTTGGTCTGAATTAATCTCACCTGATCAGGCATCAAGTTTCTGGAGGAGGTTTTGGTCACTCCTGGCTCCAAGGCATCAGTGCTGCCCCTTTCCTCCCTGCTGGAAATCCCACAGGATCCATCCATCAGAGCAGTGTTGGGTTTACCATGACAGCAGCACACTGCAGGCTTCTGTTCTTGCTGTGACCAGCCAAACCCACTCTCCTCCCTCCTGGCCTCCAGCAGGTAAGGGGTGCCCCAGGGTGGAGAAGGCTTCTTCTTGCCTTCTCCAAATAAACAAATGCCAGCCCCAAATAAACAACTCCACAATCAATGCAGTGAGGCTTGACCTGATAGGCTCTAATGAGGATGATGACGATGATCAAACCATATCTAAGACCAAAATAACCTCAACATATTCCTCTCTGCTGAGCTGACCCCCACAGCAATGGGACAGTTCCAGGAGATGGAGGTTGGGCAGGCAGATACAGATACCACAGATTTGTTCTCAGCTGCTGACCAGAAAGGAGGGCAGTGTGTTCAGAAAATCCCACCTGACCTGGGGGTAGAAAACTTCCTCAGTGCACACAATGTGTGCATTGCCCCTGCATTGGGCAAGCTTTGGCTAAGGTGAGGAGAAGGGCAGTGCTTTCCCTGGCTTTCATTGCCTCGGGTTTCACTCGCTGTTCAAAAAGATTTCTGTGTGGCTGGCAATATCCAGGTAAAAAGCCCATATCAAACACACGGTTTTTCTTTCATCCATTATTAAAACAGAGGCTGCCAGCAAAATTCAGAGCAGCACGTGGTTACATGCACCAAGACAAATCATTTTCTGATTAATGACAGCTCCAGACACACTTCTAGAGACGTGAGTGCTTGTAAGCTGCAAAGGATGTGCTGTAAAATGCATTTTGATTTAACTTATTAAAGAACAATTATAATGCCAAATTTAAAGGAACAAGCTGAACAACAAACCAGAGGCTTGAGAAAAGACTTGAACACCAAGACCAAGAGCAAGAAGGTGGTCTCCTGCCTGTGTTGCTGGACACTGCTACCAGAACTGCAGCACCACAGAGTACAGGGTCCACACCTTGCTGGTAACCAACAGCTCAAGTGCCTTGAGAGAACCCAGTATTAGAGAAAAAAATGTCACTAAAGAACAGTCACTAAAGAGCAAGCCCAGTGAGAACACCACCAGTCCCCAGCTCTAAGGCCACTTCCCAAGGCAAGGGGAAGCAGGGGAGGATTCAATCCACATCCCTGGCATAGGGGAGATACTCAGGGAGAGCAAATGTCAGGTTGTCACCAGCTGGTGAGGTGACAGGTACATTTACCAGCATATATAGCATTTATGCATCGGGAATCTGCAGTGTAAAAGGCTCCTGATGAAGCTTCAATTCAAATGTCATCTCTGCTCAGAGGGGAAGGCACGATGCCTGTCAGCGCCGCTGCCACCACCCTGGTGCCCAGCCAAGTTAAAGGCTCAGAGAGAAACTCAGCATTAAATAGGATGGATTCACAGCTCGTCAGGGTGATCAGCAGCCCCCGATCACTGGAGTTATTCAGAAGGAAAGCGGAAATATTTAGGACTTTCTAAGAATAAAAGTGGAGCATCTGCAAAGCCAGACGTACAACGCGCTGCTGGTGGGAGGCAGAGAAGGAGCTGATGCAAACCTTTGGCAAATGCTTCTCCAAGCAGGAAAACTCCCAGAGCTCAGCTGACAGGCAGCAGGGATGGCTCAGGATAGACCAGGCAGGTGAAACTCCTTCCTATTCCACCTGGAGACTGTGAGAGTTGGAGCACGCTGGGGTTTCTGTCATGTAAAACCCAAGGCACTGGGAAGGACAGCCTGAGTGAAATGCCAGGCAGCCACCCTGAGGCAAAGAGGCTTTCAGAAGTGATGCTCAGGACATCACAGGAAGGGTTCAAGGGGCTCTGCTTACCCAGAGAGCCTCTAACAGGGCACAGAAATTCCAGCAAAGTCCTTCCCACACCTAGGCAGCAGTGCTTCTCTGAAGCAGCCTGTTCCCAGCCCTGACTGCTCCCACTGCCAGGATCACTCCTGCTCAGCAAGGAGATGTGAAAACCCAGCAGAGTCACACAGACAGTCTCTGCTGAGGGCATTTTTCCAAGGAAAGCTTGAACTCTCCCCTTTCACAGCTGTGTGCTGGGACTGCTGCACAACCAGGGGATGTGACCAAGATCACATGAGGAACTGGTGGCAAAGTGGCTGCAGGCAAGGCCACCCCGAGAGCTGCCCACCCCTGCACGCTCAGAGCCCTGCACTGCTGGGGAGAGATAGGCTGACATTCATTCAGCATTAAAAAGCTTCCAAAACTGGGCATACAGACACCCTTTATCTACAAAGCACAGCCATCAGTGGGTGATGCTAAGCCATCAGTGCTGGAAAAGACAAGGGGAAATCATTTAGGTGGCGTTGTATCTTCAGAAAGCTGGAATGAAATTTCCCCTGGCTCTCACCAGCTTGGCTGTGCTCTGCTTTCACTCAGCGGTTGCATTTGGAGCCTTGCAAGTCTCACCGCATTCGTGGGTGTTGCTTAATTTTAAAAATACTCATTTCAATCAAGCTGAATAGAAGAAAAAGAATAGCACACAGAGAGCATGAACCCTGCAGCCTGCTGGATCTGGCTGCACCATGTGTCCCAGCCAGGACACTTGACTAATGAGGCTTTTGAAGCAGCGGCAAGTTCAGCTAAGAACTGAAAGAAACTAAAGATTTACCTTTTTTTAAGTCCTAAAACTTAAAACCCCAGGCTTTTCACAGGTGGATTTGAGTCAGCTCAGCTGTGAGGGAGACTGCTGAGGGTTTTCTTTTACCCAGCAGGTTTCTGTGAGTCAGGGATGCAGCTTGTTCAGGATGCTCTGCTCTGAAGGCTGTGGGAAGGCAGCACAGAGCATCCACAGCCATGGATTTCATCTGTGCCCAGGCCCTGGCTACCCTTTATGCACCCAAAAGGAACTTAAAGCATTAAATTGCACAGCTAATATCGAATTCCTGGAGGTTCATGACGATGAGTATTGGCTTGATGTTGTTCTGGCACTCCTGCTCAGAACACAAAGCACCTAATTTGGGATTAGTCAGGACACAGCGGGGCCCCAGAGGAGGCTCCCAGTTTCCAGGACACTCATATCCATCCTGGAAAGCCCTGGAGAAGGCCAGGCTCCTGGGAGAGGGTTTGGTGCAGCTTTCCCTGCAGCCCAGAGGGGCTGTGGCTGTGGCAGTGGCTGCACATTGGGTAATTGCATGTGCAAATCAGCCTCTTACATGGGCAATTACACCCCAGTGCTTGCTTGGGGTGCCCAGGCACCACAGAGGGCACTGCTGCCATGTCCTCACGTGCTGCTCCTCAGCTCAGACAGCTCAGCTGAGGTACAGGAGGTGAAAAAGCAACATTCATCCTGCCTCCCTGTTTATAAGGGATGAAAAGACTAATATATTGGGGGAAGAACAGCCTTTGCAGCGGGAGGCTGTAGCAGGGGCTCCTGTAGGCAGCTCCACACCAGCTCTTCCTTCCCTATGTCTGAACCAGGGAGCTGAAACAGCCCCTTGATCAGCCTTGTACAGCTCAAACGCCCTTCAGAGGAGCCCTGCCTGCCCGTGGAGAGATCTGGAACTGTGGGGTGAAGACCACATGCTGGAAGCTTCACCCAGAGCACCCAGCAGAAATCCTGCTCTGGCTGCTGCAGCCATGGGATCACAGCTCCCTGCAGAGACCTGTCTGGCACCACAGCCCTCCTTCTAATTTCTGAGCTAAAGAGCTTTTCAAACCCCATCCAGATTTAGATGGAGCAGGGATGGGATGGGGGCTGTGGCATCCCTTTCTCTCCTGTCACTTATGAACACAACAGGGCTTCCTGCAGCCTGTTTTATCCCTAAAATTCAATGCTCAAACCAGGAGGGAGAAAGACATCCTTAAGGTTATTTATGAAGGCTTCAGTGGAGCTCACTGTTTAATACAGCCTTCAACAGAGAGAGAAAAAAATCATAACAAACATCAGAAATGTTCAGGAAGCAAAGAGAGAAAGAAGTGGTGTCTGTTCCTGAATTAAGTAGCCTGCCAACCACCTCCAGCCCCAGCTCCTCTTCAGTCATAAGCAAAATATTCCAGAAGTGTTTAACTTTCCTACAAAGCCTTTGAAGAGGCTTGTTACCATTACAATGAGCAAAGCACAAACAGGGCTCCTCAGTCTTGGCCAAACAACTGCCTGAGCCTGGAGTAACCACAGACCCACACAGCTCAAACAGGGGATGAGGCACAGCTCTGCTTGGTGGGGAGCAGAACATGAGCACAGGAAGGCAGAGAGGAACCCCATGAGCTCTTACAGCTCCAAATTATCCCCTGGTGTAAAGCTCTCCCACAGGAAAAGAATAAACCATTAGGGATTTTTGTTGTTTGGGGTTAGAATCATGGAATAGAATCAAAAAATCTCCTGGGCTGGAAGGGAACCACAAAGATCAAAGCCAAGCTCCTGGCCCTGCACAGGATAACTCCAAAATCACACCATGGGATTATTTGATGAGGATGACTTAAAGCCCATTTCAGTCTAGGTGGATGCAGAGGTTCATGGAAGTCCTTATCTGAACAAAACCAGAAGAAGCTGTGCTCCTGCAAGCTGCTGGGGCTGCAGCAAAGTGTGGGGCTAGAGCTGTCTGCAGCTGAGCAGAAGGGAGATCTCAGTCTGTGGCTTCCCTCTTCCCACAGACTGAGCAGAGAAGGTGTTCCCATGCCCTGCCAGGAAGATGGTGCCTGCTGGGTCCTGCAGGGGCCAGGGAGACACCCAGTCAGGGCACAGCTCCATCCCACAGCTCTGCCTTACCAGCCCAAGCCTCAGTTAGCGTTAAACCAAAACCACTTCTGCATATTTTGGGATGCAAACAAGCATCCATCCTCAGCACATCTGTGTCTTATGCTGGGAGATGTCAAAATAATATTGAATCATCTTTAGAGGGCAAGAGCTGCTTGCAATGCCTGTTCACCTTCAAAGTGTTCTCTCGCAAGCAAACTCCCCAAATCCCCTCCTCTAAAAATAATGCAACATAATTATGCCATTCATCACTTTTTTTTCCCTCCCCATTTTCCCCACACAACTCTGTAACCTACAGCCAAAGCCATGTTTCCCTGAGCAGAGTTTTGATAATACAGCACTATTCTCATCTCCAGCAAGTTTTACTGTAATTACAGAAATGTGCTGCAGACATTACACACTCTACAATTAGCACAAATTGCATTGCATTGTCACAAAGAAGTCATTTACTCTCCATGAGTTCATGAGATTGGTCTGGACAGTTTAACAGGGATGAGAAGCACTTATTGGCTTCCCACACAAGTGGCCAGCAGGAGCAAGGACAAGAGGCTCTCCCAGACCTCCAAGAGACAGATCTGCGACAAAAATGCACAAAAAGGTTTCTCCACAATCATAACCTCTGTCAGGTCTAGAACAGGTCTCAGAGAATGGGGAAGATGACAACTGGGGATTCTTTTTGGGGGTGGGGGGCAGTGTGGGTTGAAGCCTATTCTAAACTGGTGGTGGCTGGGAAGGATTTCTCTGGATTTCTCTGGATGCTGTGCCCATGGGAGTGTCCAGCCCCAGTATGACAGGCTTTCCCCACCTGATGCCCCACAGATACAGTTTGCTGCTTCCCCTCTCCCCTGACATCTCTTTCTGCAGCCCATCAGAAGGGAAGGGGCAGGGAAAGCAGGAGAGCCAGCCACTCCTGCTGGGTGCTGAGGAGCTCACACTCTGCTGCTGCTGCTTCCCTCCTCCCACGTCTTGCACACCAAGGGCAGAGAAAAATGTGAAGGCAGAAACAGAGTTGCTTCATTGTGGTCAGCAGGACCACATGGAAACCTTAATCCCCTGCCCTGGCATTTCACTGGGGAAGCTGTGAGGCCTCCATAAAAACATGACTCCCTTTACCTGGTATCACAGAGCTGGGTTTTGAGGACTGCCCTTGGCACACACTCTCCAGGGCCCCAGTTTGGCTCTGGCCTCTGTCCTGACACCTGCTCTGATGCAGGATTCCTCCATGCAGAGCTCATCCCTTGCTCTGCTGTGAGCACCATGGGCCAGGTGCCCATTGGGGAAGTTTGCCCCATTTGGGAACCAAAGAGCTGCACTAAGGGCCACCTGAGGAATTTCCCTCTGTCTGGTTGGGATTTGACCCTGCAGCACTTTTATCCCTTATCCCTTACAGTGTTTTTTACCTTTATCTTAGGTCTACTAAGGGCTTGAGCTCTTTATTTTTTTTCTCTGCTACAGCAGTGGCCCATTCCTGCAGCCCCTTTGGCTTTCCCTGGCACTCAGCAGGCTCCCCAGGATCACAGCAACACTCTGGGTCGGATGCAGCACCCCAGGATAGATGGGCTAGGACTGGAGGAGAGCACAAGGGCACATAAGGGGGCAGAGAAAGCCAGTGCTGGAGGAGGAGAGGCTATGCTTTGTGTTTAAATCCAGTTTGATCCTTTGCTGGCTGAATTGGTTTTGACAGGGCCCAGATGGGAGCAGTTCATTCACATGAAGGAAAGAGCCATCACTTCCTGAAAGGCAAAGCTGACCTGGCAGGAGGCACGAGAGGGTCAGGCTGCCACGCTGTAAAAAAACTGCAGCAAAAAATGCCTCTGCATGTTGGGGAAGGGGGAGCAGCTGCTTCAGGGGGGGATCTGTGCCATGGTGTGGCTCTGCCCAGGAAGGAGATAACTCTCACATACCCAAACACCTGGCCAGGTGCAGCGGATATGAAGAGATTTCTTTGCTTAAGCAAAAAGAAGTGTGATATTTTGGCATAGGAATAAGGATGGAACCTGCTGGTGTCCCTCTACAGTGAGGTCTCATCATGGTGGGGTCCCCACAGGAGGACATCAGGGATAATTCTGGCTCCAAAGGCTTTGCAAGATCAACAGGCAAAGGCAGGACCAGGCTGGGAGGACAAGGTGGCAGCACCCTGGCACAGTGGAGTTGGGAACAGCCTAGCATCCATGACCATGCTTCCCCAGATGGGATGTCTGGCCTTGCTTGGGTTGGGCTCTTCATCACAGTTAATTCCAGTATAAGACATAATAAATGAGAAGAAATCAAGGTGGCTTAGCAAGCTCCAGCCCTTGGATGTGCTGCTGGTATCTACAACCCTACCAGACCTGATTGGACCTGCGGTTCCCTCTTGTCCAGCATCCCATCACTGCTGTCCCTAACATTGCTCAGACATTTCAGGAGGAAACCCTGAGCCTTCTCCTGACCTGAGGAGTCAGAGGCTGGTGGGGCTGGAAAGTAGGAGGTTGTGGCTTCCTGCAGAAGACAGGGTTTTGGGGACAATTACAGCTCCTGGGTCTGAAGCTCACTGCATTTTTTCACCTCTGCAACAATGAATTTTTCAAGCCACAGATGCACTGGGAGACTTGGCATCTCCATTTTACTTCTCCCAGCTGACTAGCAGAAGCGTTGGGCCATGTCCCTGTGAGTCCAGCAATGGGAAAACTCATTAAGGTGTTGCCCTTCTTGGGCCACACCAAACTCACGCCAGACAAACAAGCTGGGAGGGGCCTCTGCTTCTTTCCAATAAAATCTAGAAAATTTGATCCCTAGCTCTATCAAAAGAGGCAAAACCCCACTGTTTTCCCAAAAGTCTTGAGGCTCCTGGGGCGGGGGAGGCAAGGGCCAGCAAGAGATTCATATGTCAGAGAAACTCAGCTTGCTGGCCAGTGGCCAAGGACTTTTCATGTGGATTCCCAGCCTCAGCCAGGAGACTCTCAGATGCTGGAAGAGCCTTTAATTCAAACCAGGTGCCTCTGAAAGGAAAACACTCAGAAAGGCAAACTTGATCTCTTTCCCTCAAGAAAAAAAAAAACAAAAGGTATAAAAATGAGGGCAATCGAGCACATTTCAGTGAATGATCCCTCCTGGCACAGCCTCTGTGCTCCCAGCTGCCCACTCCAACCATGGAAACCAAAACCTCTCGTGGGCTAGAGGGAGAAAAGCCAAGCTCAGCGCCCAGCAAAGGAGCCTCAGGGCATGGGCTGGTCAAAATCCACCACAAACAACTTTTGTCACCCTGCCCTGCTCTGTCCCTGAGCTGAGCATCAGCTCTCCCTCAAGCTACTGAGAGCACCAGAGGGGCTCTCTGCAGCTCGGGAGTGATCCCTGCTGGGAAGCTGGGATGGATGGACACCAATGGCACCAACACCAGCCAGCCCCCAGCCTTCCCTGCTGCAAACCAGCTGCTCCCCCAAATCCAGTGCTTGCCAAGCAGAGCCATAAATAACAACTGAGAAACCCAGGAGGAAGGGGACCTGCCTCCCCAGACCTACCCTGCAATGACGATGAAGAAGTCCAGGCGGTTCCATGTGTCTCCCAGGTAGCATTTCTTCCCAAAAATCCCCAGCGCAATCATTTTGACGATCATTTCCACAGCAAAGAAGGCAAAGATGAAGTCATCAAAGCTCTGCAAAAGAAAGGGAGGGAGGAGGGATGCTCCTGCACACTTGCACCGAGGGAGGGAATTAGAAACCCGAGTCCAGCAAGGTCTCCTTTTGCACCTCTAAAAGCTAAACCCCCGGGAAGAAGCTGTGCTGAGAGCAGCCCTGTGTGTGTTCCCCAGCCCAGATGGTCCAACAGCACCCCCAGTGCCAGGATAACGGGACAAGGATATTTTGGGCTCTGCTTTCACTGACCACTAGATAGATGGTTGGCCTTCCCCAAGCACTGCAAGAAAGGCTTGGCAAGGCTGAGGCTGGCACAGCCTGGCAGGGGCTTTGCCTGACAGCACCGCGTGTTCTCATCCGAGCACCAAAACCAGCGTTTTCCCAGTGCTGACACCACAGGCAGGACCTGCCATCCTGTGACACAATGCCACCGTGGCTGCAGCCAGCTCAGTCCTTCCATCTCCACATCCACCTGAGGCTGCTGTGGGGCTTCCAGCAGCCCCCGTACCTGGAGTATCCTGCAGCGTGGCGAGTCGCAGGCGATGTCCTCGCAGGGGTGGAACATGCCCAGCGTCACACAGTTGAGCAGGATCACCAGCATGCTGACCCTCTCAAACCACCTGCACACACCCGTCAAGGAGCCAACACACCCACAAGTGCATCCATGAGAAGCCACAAGTGAATTGGAAAAGTTTTCCTGGTCTTTAAGGCCAGGAGCAGAGCAGCTCCCCTACACCAGGCACTCTCTGGGTTTACAGCTTTAGATGCCTGAATGTGTTCTCCCCATGCTGCCATCAGTGGCTACAGCTGACGTGAAAACCACTCTAAAATGGAAGTTTCATGGCAAGAGTGCTGAGTGCTGATGTGATGGATTAAAACATTTAATTAAATGAGCGATATCAACTTTTAGAAAAAAAACCTAAAAAACCCCACACCATTAATTTCCTTTCCTGGCGTTTTACGGAAAAGCACTTTAACAACATTACAATTTCTATTAACCATGTCACAGCTTATCCCAGGGGTGTTTCCCTGAAGCCACTGCTTGAACTTTCATTCCCAATCCAAATTAAGACTGCCAAAACAATTAATGAACTGCCTAAAAGCCTTTAAGTGAAAGCCAGCAGAGCCCATTCCCTACCCTGCCTCCTGCCTCTCGGAGCAATTTTTAAAGAGCCGAGCTGCTGGGACAGATGTTGGATGCACTTTTGGGGCAGGATAAAGTGTGTTTCTGCAGCACATCCCCACAGGGATGCCTCAAACCTCGTACCCAATTCCTGCATCCTTCTGACAGCATTTCCAAGAGCACAGAGATGGGAAATGCAGGCACGGGTTCAGTGTGATGCTGGGGTTATCTTCCAGCATGAAAAACACCCTCTCAACTGCCAGAACCCACAGGCAGCAGGGCCATGCTCCTGCCTGAGTGCCAGCAGCAGCTTCTGTGCTCCAGGAAAATAAGCATGGCCCTTGTCAGACAAGAGTTTTCACTACAACACAGCAGCGGGTGGAGTTGGGAAGCCCGTGCTGCAGCGCTGTGTGCCTGGGGAAGGGGAAGGTGAAGATGAATCAGCAGGTGCCTCCCGGTGGGGCTGGGGCTGGCAGCTCCCTGCCACCCATTCTGAGTGAATCCCTGGAAAACCACAGGGGGCTGAGTCATGGCTTGGTTGTCAGCAATCTGGATCTTTTGATCAGGAGAAATATTTACAGGATATTGGGACAGACATTCCAGCTGTCAGGTCGGGGCTATGGGCTGGGATATTTAACCTAAATATAGTCCTGTGAGGGCAGGTATGGAGGGCAGCCAGAGGAGGGGCACTACTGAAGGGAATCCCCAACCTGAGGGGCTGGGAAGATCCTCCAGCAGAACCAGCTGTGCCCAGGGCTCTGCCAGCAGAGAACTGTAAAGCCCTTGGGAACATAAAGAATTAAAAAACACCCTGTATGATCCCAAAGGAGTGACAGAAGGAATGTCAGCTGCATGGGCTGTGCAAGACATGCAGCAGGGAAGTGAGGAGGTCCCAGGACAGCCAGGTTGGTTGGGTCAAAACCTGCAGAGACAGATGGACACATCTCCAGACAGTCAAAGATCCATTCCAATTCTTCTGTGGCAGTGGACAAGAGCCTTCACTGGATGTGGATCTCCTCCAAACACTCCATCCCAGCTGTGGGTGCTCTGGCCCCAGTGGGCAGCTGCTGATGCTGGCTGGGGACTGCAAACTCCTGGGCAAGCAGAGATGGACATCAGCTCTGGAATCACTCTGATCTCAGCTCCTCCCTGTCCAAGACCCAGCACAGCCCCAGTGCTCACCCAGGGCAGCTGAGCAGAGCCAAGCCCAGCACAGCCCCAAGGCCAGCACAGAGGGATGAGCAAGGGCTGAAATGGAAGAGCACAGGATGGCACCAAAGACACCCTCCCTGTCCTTCCCTGGCATGCCACAGTCTGCACAGCCTCAGATGCCCCTCAGTACTCATTAGAGTGCTGGCACTGATGCCAGTGACTAATTGCAAGTGGAAGAAAGCCAGGAGAGTGCAGACCCCCAAGATGCCACAGCCTGCCACACATAGGGCACCAGCTGTGGCCAGCAGGGAGATTTGGGGACCAGCACCACATCTGTACCCCCAGGAGGGTCCCTGTGGTGCAGCCAGCATCACCTGTCTGCCCAAAGACACTGCCCTGGGCCAGAACCTCCCGTCTTGGCACAGCCACAGCCTCCCCCACGCTGCCCACCCTGGCTATGGTGAAGGTGCCCCCATCCTGTCCTGGGCTGCCCTCCCCACATCCCACTTTGTCCTGCAGGAACAAACATCTGCAGGCAGGAAAACAGCCTGGAGAGGGAGGGGGACCCAGGGAGCAGGTGGGGTGTTTATTTGCTGACGGCAGAGGTTTTTTACCCCAAATTTAACTGCAGACTACTTATCAGCACATTGCTCCCTGAAGCATATACATTTCAGTCCAATATAACACTTCACCCTGATTAAATATTCCCGGGACAGGCACCCCAGCAGTGCCGAGGGCAGTATGTTAATGTGCAGCCCAGAGATCAGAAGGTTGGGGGGTTTTTTTTCCTCTTTTTTATTTTCCCCGGCTGAGTGAAAATTCAAGCTCTTTCTTCTGCTAATGGGATTTTCAGAGGCACACAAAGTGCTGCTGGCTATGACTTTGTACCGACCCTCCTTTGAGCCGAGAGGCTGACAAAGGGAAACTCTTCAATTAGCAAAAGTAGAAGGTGCTTTTTTGAATGCCTCTCACCGCTGAAGTGCAGGCAGGGAAGGGGCAAAGGAGCTCTGGGGAAGCACCAGGGACAGAGTTGATCCCTGGCCAGCAGCTGAGGTGAGGAGGAGAATACCTGAAAGGAGGAGCAGAGGTGGCACTGCCACCACCCCAGGGTTGAGCTGAGCCTACAGCCTTCACTGCATCAGATAAATATTTGCTGGCCCTCAGGGTCCTGCCTCCTCCTCACACCAAGCAGAGCTGATATTTAAAAGAAAAAGGATTTATAATGGGGTTCATGCCCATATAGAAGGTGATCACCCCATCCACCCCACCCCAGGGGGGTCAGAAAATCACCACTTTTAAGGGTCACCCGCTCATCCCAGCGTATTCTTAAAAATCCACATTTTTATGATCAACGCGCTCAGGCAAGCAGCCAAAATCCTCAGAGATTCTTTTCAACTAAAAAAAAAATCTGTTTCTGCCACACAGAAATTCGCAGTAACGCTTCCGTTGTAACCTGACTCTTAAAATTCATAAGATAGAGAGAACAAAAAAAAAAAAAAAAAAGAAGGAAAATTTCCAGAAGTCACTTGCTTGTTACAAAAGGAGACTTTTCACAGAGCAAGAGCCCCCAGCCCCTTCCCAGCCAGTGCCACCTGCCTGTGCTCCACAGCACCTGACCTTTTGTAATTAAGAGTCCCTGATTCAATTAGCCAGAACTACCCAGCCTAACATAATTAAAAGAGAAAGATATTGCATTATGCTTGCTATGATGTGGTTGCAGCAGTTTGGATCAAATTCAAGAGTGAGTGAATTAAACGGGGATCTGTTGCCCGAGGGCAGCAGTCAGCAGGTGATGCGCTCTGTCCTCCGAGCAGCCAGAGCACCTGCACTGCTCCTGCTGGGCTCTGGGCTGGGCAGGAGGTACCTGTGTGCCCCAGAGATGGGGGCTCCTTTCCCTGGGGGGACTGCCACTGACTGAGCCGAGTTTGGAGGGGAGAGTTTGGTGACACTCTGCAGGGACACACGCTCTTCTATGAGATTAATATTTATTTCTTCTTTTGATGCGTTACTATCCCCAGGTAGCTCCCACCATTCCCCCTCTCCCCTGAGCTCTCCTCCAACTCTCCTCGCAAGCAGCAGCTCCCAGGACAGGTGCTGCTGTCCTGGTCCTGCTGGGAAGTGGGGTGGGACAGCCCTGTGTCCCCACCCTGTGATGGGAGCAGGGCTCCGTGGCCAAGGGGGCAACCCTGGAGCACTGGGGGCTGCACGTCTGTGCCAGGCAATGAAACTCCACCACAGCAATGCATAAACCCCCCCAGATCCACACAGCTGACACTGGGCTCTCTCTGCTGCCTGGTTTTTAGGGCAAGGAGTCGTTTTTTGGACCCAGGGATCGTATCCAGGACCGAGTCCCTCATCAGCCCACAGCCATCACTTCTGTGCCAGGAGAAGCCCTCACTCACTGGAAGAGTGGCTGGGATTTGACAAATGTGTGGAAAGCACTGGCAAGGCCTGGAATTTTTTGTGCAAATGTGATGTGAAAATTGGGTTGAAATGACAGCCTTCCCCTGCAGTGTCACCAAGTCCCACCAGCTTAGGAGTGACATCGGGATAAGCTGCAGACATTAATAAGAGTGGAGTTTTTAGCTTCATTCATATCATCAGTTCCAGAAATAGCCCTTTTGACAGAAGCATAATGGCACTTCCAGGGCCTGGCCTTTGGGGGGTTGGGAGAAGGGAGGGACTAAAATCCTAAAACATTAATTTAGGCTGTTTGCAAGGGAAGTTAAAAGTCTTCAGAATTAATCTGCCTCATAGATGGAAATAATAACCCCTTCCCAGGTTTGCCTCTGATTGCACCAAGCCAACAGGAAAAGGCTCTTCATGTCATGCCCAGTTAAAGGTTACAGTATTCCCATCACAATCCTGGACATTTAATTAGACTTATTTTTTTCCTACCACATTCCTTCGAGAGCTGGCAAACCGGCCTCTGTATTTTGCTTTTAGCATTTGCAGGAGGTATTTCCACCTCTGTGGATGCAGCAGTGCCAGAGGTGCTCTCTACCCAGTGAATCCAATTCCCTGAGCTGCAGCCAAGCACTGGCAGGGATCTCCCCCTGCTCACTGTAACAGGGTCTCTACCCTACAGCTTTGCCCCCCCAGATGCTTTTCCAGGCCTGCTCCCACTTATCCCTCTGAGGGACACAAGCACAGGGTGAATGAAGCAGGGAAGGTGCTGCAGGTTTAGAGCCCTTCCTGCAGCATCACAGCACCACAGGAGCAGCAGATGTGCTTTTCCCTGGCAGGATGGAAGAGCCAGAGCGGGCAGGGCACACGTGTGTGATGGAGCACTTGCCTCCAGCCCTGCAGTCTGCAGGGATTTGTGCCAGGCAAGTCCCA